TCTACAAGCAGCAAGTTTCACAGGTCATTCAGTCCCTAATGAAGAGCACCTGAACCTGCAGGGTGTGGGGAACCAGCAGATGTACTCCATCAGAGGATCAAGGTGATCAAGGTAGAGTATTAGGGATCAGGTGGTCCTTGAGGACTTTGGGTCCAAGCTGTTTGGAGCTTTAGGAATTAACAAAAGAATCTTGAACCTGGCCAAGCAGCAAATTGTTATTGAGAGGTGTTGTGTTTGTAAATTTGCACCTGTGCCTACAATTTAGCACATGCATCTTTTATATAAACCTGCACCATCTATATCTCCTCTTTTCGGCAATGCATCCCCCCCCCCCTTTTTGGACAATGCTTTAAGATGCTTTAAGGGCATGGAATTAAGTACTCACTGCCCCCACTCAACAGCCCCATTGCCCAGACATAAAGAGGCTGTTCCCCTATCCCAGTTGGGTTTATTTATTTATTTATTTACTTCATCCGTTTAAGGCTGCATCAAATGCTCATCCCACTCAGAGCAGATGCATCAGAGTTCATGGGCTTGAACTTAGTTACATTCATTCTAATGGGTCTGCTGTGAGTGATTGTTAGTTGGATTGTTAGCTGGCTGCAAACCCATCATTTCCCACCTTTTAGAACCTTTTAGAACATTTCTCACAAGGTAGCGAAGAATAGAAAATTAGACGTATCACTATAATCCATAAAACCTTCCAATAATACTTCAAGCAACACCCAAGCAACAGCAGGTCCCTGCAAATCTCCAGTCCTTATCATTTTATTTATCTGAAAACAAACAGAATGAAAATCTGGAAGGGCCTGGTCTCTCTTCTCAACAAGCAAACACTCCAGCCCCATCTGCATCCATGGAGAATTAAAGTGATTGTTTGTTTTTGGTTGTAATGGTCAGCAGAATGGCTGTGTATAAACTTGATGTCTTAAGGGCCCCTGCCACAGGCTCTCTTTTGGATTTCAAATAAAAATGACAGACCTCGTTCGTCCCCAGTCAATGCCACACCTGGCACCAAAGTCTAGAAAAATCCATCCCTGGGCTTCATTCCACTTGCCCACCAGCGATTACCAGAATGACAATTTATTTTATGACAATTGGGGGTGGGGGGCGTGATTGACAGAGAGGGGACCAGATTGCAAATGAGACAGCCTCGTTGCATGAGGGTTTGCCCACCTCAGTTGTTATTTGACTTCCCTTCCATTGTGTGAGAAGTTAAACCATGTTCAGCTGCAGAATTAAAGCTGCCTGTTAGCAATGGCCCAGGTTTTTGGTGGAGATAGAATTGAATAAACATAGCAGAAGGTAGTGAGATAGGATAATTAAAACCAGTGTGCTAAGGAACTTTCCTTCTGCTTCGACAGTGCAACATTAAGCAGAAGTTTAGGGTCACAAAATGGACAAAACTGAAAAGGATACTAAATGCACGGGCTAATCCTGAAACTCCCTAGCTCTTTATTATTTCCTAGAACATCTTATTGAAATTCTCTTTGTCTTGATGCAGTTCCTGCTTGGTGTTTCCTTACCTACCATATTCTCCTCCCACCCCAGTGGCACTGAATGGGGTCAGGAAAACATCAAAAGCAGCTAATCCAGTTGGGTGGAGCCAGACTAGCTTTTAGCAGCAGGGTAGCAGGCAGGTCAGCATAGTGCAGGTGCACCAGTGGAAACACTGGATTGGCTCTTTGTTTATTCTGCCCTCAGTTAATTCCTGCCATTATACATACCCTGTTGCATGGGTGAAATGCATTATTTATTGACTCTGATCCTACACAGTTTGCAAGGATATCAACAGCTTGTTGTTTCTGTGCAATGGCATAGAAAAGGAACAACTTTTTGTGACAACAAATATTGTGATAGTGAACAGCAGTTGCTGCAGCTAACAAGCATGTTGCAAAACAGAACAAGAACCCATCGCCGTGGTCCAAAACGCTCATCACCAAATTACCTTTTCAAGCTCTCTTGAATTCTGGAATGTTACCCACTTTTACCATCCCACTCTCACCATTCATAAATGTGACTATTGCACGAATAGCTACATAAAATCTGTTAACAGCTTTCATTTATTGTGGTCATTTGAGTGTGATGCTCATAAACTCTTGTAAGGAAATCATTGCCATTACATTGCCATTTCAGCAGGTAAAACACACACCCACACACACCAATGAGCACAGTTACAAAAAGTCCTTAGAGGTATGGAAAGAAAAGATCCAGTGTATTAGCAAACATTAACAACATGGGCACAAATACATTCCTCCAAAAATGCTGAGCAAGAAGCACATCACAAAGATCTGGGATCAGCCTTTGCAAACTTGGTGTCCTCCCGATGTTTGAGGACTACAACTCCCATCAGCCCCAGGCAGCATGACTGTGATGGCTGGGGGCCAATGGGAATCGTCATCCAAAATGTCTGCAAGGCACTGAGTTGGTGAAGGCTGCCTTGAACAATGGTCATTCATCCCTCTATCGGAGCTACAGAACAACTCAACGCTCAAGTCCCATCCACCTGCTCTGTCTCTGCTTCGCAGTACAGAGCATCCAAAACAACTGGGATATCCATTTCAAACGCCTCTCCTTGAACCCCTCCTCAAATTATTAAAAAAATAATAGTCTAGTAACACCAACTGTAAAGAAAGGCACTTTCCGCCAGTTCTAGGAACATCTCCTTCAAAAGTCCTTCCTCAAAGGAACCACAACAACAGTGAAATCTCTTGTCAAGGTGATGCCTACCTGAGCCATCCTTTGTGGATCCACCTCTTCCCTCCCGATCGTCCTCTCTGCTTTGCTTTGCTTTCTCACGGCAAATGTCTCATTCTAAGTTTTTATTTTTGCCACTTTAAGAAAAAAATATGGATAACCTGCGCAGAACTCTGCCGTAGGGATGAGCAGAATAAAATGTCACTTACCTGAAAGAGAGAAAAGGGGAGGGGGGGAGAGGAAAGCAAAGCATTAACACGAGTTCCTTTGAAATCAGGTCAACATCAAGCTTTGAAATTGCAACAATGATGACAATTTTCCCTGCATCCCCTTCACTTTTTGATGAAATCCTTTACTCTTCAAAACTCATTTCCCAAGGCCAAACATTCCCTTCATTATCCCTCTTTTTTGTTTCCATTATACCGACACCCTTCTTGTTCATCCCTGGAGAGAGGAGGTCAAGAGAGTGGGGCAGAGAAAAGTACATCAGAGAGACTCAAAAACAAAAAACAAAGGGAACTGCCAGGTGTTCACTATATGGAGGAGACAAATTAAGACGAGCCATCATTGTTTGGGGGAAATTAGAATGGAGACTTCTCTTACACACATCTCGGGGTGAGTAAAGAGCAGCAAAAGGTCTTTGCCTTTGGTTGCTTGGGGTGAAAAAGGGGCAGAGGGGGTTTGGCCAGAAGGAGATCAAAGCTGGGACACAGGACCAGCCAGGACTGAGGGATCGGCAGCCCTCAAGATGTTATTAGACTCCAGCTCCCAGAATTCTTGACAACTGGTCATGCTGGCTGGGGCTGATGGGAGTTGGTGTCTAACAACATCTGGAGGGCCACACACACTTCATCCCTGAGCTAGGACAACTGTGAACAGCCACCTGCTTTTACTGCCTGCTTGGTGGTGCACAAGCAGAAGTCTTCAGGTAGAGACTAGGCAACTATCTGTAGGGATGGTCTCACTTGGCATTTCTTGCATCAAGCAAGATCACTGATAGGGAACCAGCCTGGATTAAAAATTCTCCCATATGCGCTGGTCACTTTGACAAGTGGGTGGGGCTGCCCACTTGTCAATCACATGTCACATGACTCAGGTAAATTCAAGCTGGACTGCAAAGGAAGAAAGAATTGGGAGTGCACTTGCTTTCTCACTCCTAATCTTTCCTTTTCTGTTAAGCCCTGAAGGTTTATCTGACCCACAGCTGGTGCCATGTGATGTAGGAGGCATGCTGTTGTGTTCATGTCCTGCTTTGGGCTTCCCATTGTGATCCAGTTGGCCACTGTGAGGGCAGGAGACTGACCTAGATGAGCCATTGGTCTGATCCAGCAGGCTCTTCCTTTTTAGGGGGTTAGTTTGGCCCAAATCATGGCACAGGGCAAATGAGGATATTTAGTGGCTAGAATGTCAGGCTATGACCTGGGAGAGACCAGGGTTCAAATCCCCACTCGGCCATTATGCTCCCTGGGTGTGACTTTGGGCCAGTCACTGCCTCTTACCCTAAGCTACCTTGCAGGGTTGTTGTAAGGATTAAATGAGGAGGGGAGAACCATGTGTGCCACCCCAAGCTCCTTGGAGAAAAAGGTGGTATATACATGCAATAAATAAAATATATTGGAGAGGCAATCCAATCGGAGTCCTCTTCTCATTACCCTGCTTTTCTTTTCTTTTTTTGCAAGAGAGAGCTTTAAATTTTCAACCTGTGTGAGGTGTCGGTGGCCGTTAGGGGAAAATCCAGTCCCCTTCTGCAGAAAAAATGAAGCCCACGCACTAGAGCTGCATTTAGCAATTTGCTCAAGGCCACAGAGGAAATCTGCACTTGGTATATAGACACTGGCGGAGATAATATCAAGTTCAGCAGAGTAGCTTACAGACAAGGTTATGCAGCATTATTAGTACCTTTCCGACACGCGAGCATGCAGACTTCAGCTAATTCAAAGCACATTGCCACAGAGCTAGGTCCAGTCCAGTTGCAGTGAATTAAAATGATGGACAAGATTTCCCCAAAGAGACCATCTGGAAGATGAAAATGTACTTTTTGCACAGGAGTGTTTCATGCCATGCCTTCTCACCTTCCCCAAAAGCAGGCCATCGCCCAGCTTCAGAGAGTCGGAAAGGCCTACACATTATTGCTTGCTCAGGAACCGGATTAACCACCACAGCTCTTCAGAGAGATTGTTGGGAGGCTCTTCTGTCCTTCCTACATGTGCTGGCTAGGCCAGAGCTACTCTCTATTAGGGGTGGCCAGATCAGCCAATTTCAGTTCTGTGTCAGTTTCAAATGAGAATCTGTTCCATCCCACTGGTTCATCCTGGATAGCTCCGTTGGTTAGAGCATGGCACTGATAATGACAAGATTGCAAGTTTGATCCCCGTATGGAACAGCTGCATACTCTTGCATTGCAGGGGGTTAGACCAGATGATCCTCAGGGTCCCTTCCAACTCTATGATTCTGTGACCCACACTTTCTTGCAGATTCTTTTATCTTTTTTTCACTCTATAAGACACACTTTTCCCCTCCTAAAAAGTAAGGGGAAATGTGTGTGCGTCTTATGGAGCGAATGCAGGCTGCGCAGCTATCCCAGAAACCCGAACAGCGAGAGGGATCGCTGCGCTCCCTCTCGCTGTTATAGCTTTTGACTTAGCCGCGCTCTGTCCCTTCCCCCACCTCCCGGAAAAGCCCCCAAGAGCCACACTCCCTTTAAAGAGCCGCATGGAGTGTGTGTGAGGCTCTTGGGGGCTTTTCCCTGAGGAGGGAGAAGGGCAACCTGTCAGTGATGGGCTGCCCTTCTTCCTCCTCGGGGAAAAGCCTGCAAGCGCCGCACACATGCTCCACGCAGCTCGTGAAAGGGAGTGCTGAGCAGAGCCTAGGATGCATACATCTGCTCTGCTCAGCGCTCCTTTTAAATAATTTTTTTTTTCTTGTGGGAGGAATTCAAGGCCACACTGTTACAAACCTTCTGTCTGTAAAAGCACCTCTCCTTGCTCAATGAAACAGTCTCTCTCCTCTCCTCTCCCTGTGCATTGTTCTGGGGGCAGTGGTGGAGCTCCATGCTCTGGCACCAGGGGGCAGAGAGCAGGCAGGGGCAGGGTTGGCGGGCATCCCAGGGGCATGGCACACATCCTGGGGGCGTGGCATGCTGCCTGTGGGGGCATGGCGCCCAGCATGGGGTGGGGCAGCTGTGATGGCACCCCACCGGGATAACGCTGTTAGGGGCAGTGCGCTTACCCCACACTCCTCTTCCTCCATCAGTGTCTGGTGGTTCTTCAGAACAACCCCATACACTCTGAGCTCATTTGGGGGTGCAGGTTGGGAAAAGCCCCATTCCGCTAAGAGAAGTCATTGCACTGGCTTTCCCTAGCAGGGCCAGTTAGTAGAATCTGGCCCAATGTTTAAATTGCATTCATTTCCCCCTGCAGTATATATTTTGTACACATTCTTCACTTAAAATATCCATTCCTATATGCTTTCCCACAGTGCTTTTTTCTAGAAAAATAGGTGCTGGTACATACCATCAGTGCCGGATTTACATATAAACTAAACAAGCTATAGTTTAGGGCTCCAATCTTGAGGGGACCCCAAAAAAATAAAGAGGGGAAAACTGGATGTACATTTCCAAAATATAAGATAAAAAAACAAATAAAATAAAACCTACATACTGCAACAATGTTTTGTGCTGTGTAGGCTCCTAAGATCATAGCTGTCAACTTTTCCCTTTTCTGGCGAGGAATCCTATTTGGAATAAGGGAATTTCCCTTTAAAAAAGGAAAATGTTGACAGCTATTCCTAAGATGTAAGTAATCAGCCCCACCTGCTAGCCTGCTCCCTAAACTATCATTGGTTTGCTCATTTCTATATACAGTAGTACCTTGGTTCTCAAACTTAATCCATTCCAGAAGTCCGTTGGACATACAGTATAAAAGGCACCCACTACCTTCAGTAGCTTAGAGCCTCATCAAATCTAAATCCGACCCATTAAGTTGTTACAGTAAGTGCCACACTTTTTAACAACAACAAAGAGGTGCTTGTACTGCATACCCTTGAGTACCCCCTAAAAAAAAAAAAGAGCACTGCTTTCCCTTACTTTTTTCTGGAAACGTGCAGCTTGGGGTGCATTTTTTGAACCCAAACTGCATTTTTAAAACAAGAAGTCCATAGTAATTAGATATGCAAATGATTAAGCCGTGTATAAATGCCTTAAATGAATAAATAACCTGCCTTCCAATCTACATCTAAGTCTAGGACCGGCGAGTTAGGGTGGTTAACATTAAAATGCAGGAGAATTTCTCCTCCACCGCTGACACTGCAATCTGGCTGGCTGGACACAAGTCCCCAAATCTCTCATATCTTGGAAAGGGAAGGACCCAAGCACAGAAACTTAATGGAAGAGTCTCCTATTTGATATGCAACCCTAGTTCATAGCAGTGCAAAACCAAAGTCTGTTTCAATGAATTACCGGCTGCTCTTTATAGGACTATCATAAAATCAAGAGTGGTGACAGCTCAACTGCTCCTAATCAGTTTCAGCTGAAGAGGTTCTCTCGCCCTCATTTTTTTAATAATAACAGAAGCAATTTTTAAGGAGATTAACCCTTTGCTTCCTATTTTTATGCAAGGCTTTGGAACTGCCAGAGCTGGAAAAGTATTGTAGCTGGCAGGCAGATCAGTTTTTAAATGCACAAGGGTGGTTGCACCTTTAAGAGTCTCTTGGAATGGGAACTTTGAAAGTGAAGCTTCTTACAGAAATGTAAAACTATGGCGGTGGAAGGTGCATTGGGCCAAATTTTCTTTTCTACACAGAAATCTATTGTGGTTTTCTTTCATTAGGGGGTTATTTTACTTTGACTAGATCCATGCTGCTATTCTCAAGTTTCAATTTCTGGATAAAACTGGGCAATTTCAGCAGAGTAAAAATACCCCCCCCCAAAAAAAGGTCTTTGCTTCTTACAACCTGTTTAAGATGGTTGTTTACTCTGGCTTCAGATCCTTCCTTCGATTTCCTGGATTAATTGCACGGGTGATGATAACCAATCAGGGATCCCGCAAAGAACTATATGACATCACAGTGCTACATAGTAAATCAGACTTGACTTCCCAAAGATGCAACTGGGGGTAACTGAGGGCAACTGAGAGTAAGAATAAGTTGCACTTCTTTGAAAACACAGCCATGAAGGCTATATAGAATATATCACCTCTAGGAACAGAGGCATTATGCCTCTGACTACCCATCGCCAGAGAGCACCAGCAGGAAATGGCTATTGCCCTCATATTTTCTCTGTTTCTCATTGGCATCTGATTGGCCACTGTGGGAGACAGGTTGTTGGGCAGTTTGAGCCTTTGGTCTGATCCAGGAGGGATCTTCTTGTGTTTGTTTTCCTTTCTGGTTTTCTCAAGCTTTATGGGTTTCAACAATAACATTTGATTGAGCTGAGAATAAGTGCAATTCGAAGGAGTGCTGGAGAGTTTCCAAAAAGAGGCATGTTGGAATCACTGTGAAAATGTCAGCTATAACAGTGTGTCGTTTTGCCTCAAATTCCTAACACCTCCCCCCCAAATGTTTATTTAGTAATAAACTGGATCTCTCCATTGCTTTATATCCAAACATTTCAAAGCAACTTACACAAAAAAAAAAAAAAGGAATTCAGGCAACAAGAAAAACATTATAATCTTGCAAACCTTGAAAAAAATCTTAAATATTATTAATCTAAAGAGTTTGGAGGGGATTATTTTACAGCACAATTATATGCTTAGAACTCATTGGGTCTTCTATCCAGGCAATAGGTTTAGGATTGCTGCATCAAGCAATTATTGCACCTGCCTGAATAACCAGTTTGCCAGCTGCAGTCAATGTGATTCCCTCCAGATGTTTTGGACTACAATTCCCATCATTCCTGAGCACTGGCCCAGCTGGCTAGAGCTGATGGAATTTATAATCAAAAACATCAGAAGGGTATCATGTTGGCACTCGATAACACTAAACCCTAACATTTCACACTGACCCTTTTTTCCTCCTGCAAGATGGAATCAGTGTCTTAAGAAGCCAGTAGCTGCCCCTCAATGCTCTTTGTTCTGCTACACCTGACGCAGACTTAGTTCCACAGGAAAATTCTTTTTTTTTTAATCATCATTTTCTCAGACCTCCATTTCAAACCATTATCCCCTAGAGGAGTGCTTTTACTTTCCCCTCATTGCCTCATATTGAGTTTTTCTGTGTATTAGATTTGTTCCCCCCACCTCCTTTTTGCAGTGAGCATATTTATTGATTTTCACATTGGGCAAAGCAGCGCGTTATGCACCTGTGGGGAATCTCCATCGCTAAAAGCCAGAAGGCTCTCGCCAGCCCATTGTGCAAAAGAATCGAGAATTAAAGACGGGAAGAAAAGAAGCAGCGGGCCTCCAAAACATCTCCAACCAGGCAGAGGGACACAAACCCAATTGACAAGGCGGCACGACATTCCTTTCTGCTCACCACCGATGTGTTATTTGAAACCACAGACACAGCTATTTAAGTAGACAAACAAACCCAGGCTTGCCAGCAAACCCTGGCCGGATTCAGCTAACACTGCAGTGCTGGTATTTCCACCTTAGAAGGATAAACAGGACATGAGCTCTGCTCCTATTGTTTCAACCTTTTTACCTGCACACACACATGCACAATGAGATGCTGACACTCAACAATGGCTTAATCTAGACATGGGGATCCTGGAACCCTCCGTATGTTATGGGACTACAACTCCCATCACCCCCAAACAGCATGACCAATGGGCAGGGACAATGAGAATTGCAGTCCAGACACATTGTAGGGTCACAGGTTTCTCCATTCCCAATTTAGAGCAGTAGTATTCAAATGTCCCATGCTGCTCAGGGAACACATCCTGTATCACACACCCTCCAATATTTTTATTAAACATTTTAAAACTTCCCTATACAGGGCTGCCTTCAGATGTCATCCAAAGATTGTATAGATACTTATCGCCTTGGATCCAACATTTCTCCCATGAAAATAGGAACGTCCTAAGGAAAAGTGGGACATTTTGGGATCAAAGCAGAAACCAAAATGGCTTCTGTAAATCCAGGGCTGTCCTTGGAAAATAGGGACACTTGGACAATCTGGTATCAGAGCTAGTGCCTGAAGTCTCCATGGACCAGGCAAGGGCAGAATTCCAAGCTCCTAGGAGTTACACCAAATCTGATCAATCTGGAAGCTTCCTACTGCCTGCCAATCACACAAGCAGATATTTCATTCCATTATTCCATTCTTGTTCCCAAAGAACGCTCCGAGACCCAAGTATGCACAGCCAGGCACAGCTCTGGCTTTTATTTTGAAGGGAGTTGGGGTAGCCGCTCTGACCCAGGGCCTTCCCCCAGCATTTGGTGGAGGTTACAGCCTATTTCAGGACCAGGTTTCCAGGCCTTTGCATGGTTCTAATTTGTTCAGCTTGCAGAATCACTGGATGCAACAAGGTAACAAAACACCCACACAGCTGCTTTGAAATGACAAGGAAATTGCAAGCCCCGGTAATTAACTGTTCCTGCATATTAACTTTGGAACGGTTTTGGATGTTGCTGGATAAATGCTCAATAGAATTCTCTGAATGATCTTGGGGGCTTGGAGATAGAAACTCCCCAACTTTTTTTTTTTTTTTTAAAAAAAACACTTTTTGGCTAATCACATCTTCTCATAGCAAGGAGGAATACCGTATTTTTTGCACCATAACACTCACTTTTTTCCTCCTAAAAAGTAAGGGGAAATGTTTGTGCGTGTTATGGAGGGAATACCTACGGATTTTCCTCCTCTAAAAACTACGTGCGTGTTATGGTCGGGTGCGTGTTATAGAGCGAAAAATACGGTCATTCATTCAATTATTGGCTGCAGGGCCACAGATGGAAACTCAGCATAGTGAAGAGAGACCAGATCCCTCCCTCCTTAGACAACTTCCTTGCACAAACTTACTTTTCACTCAGGTGATTATGAGTATTTAGTTGTTTGCAAATCTTCTATGCTGTTACATTTGAATAAAAACAACCCTTTTCATGAGCTATGGTTTATTGAGTCTTTTTTAAGCATGTAACCAAATTTCGCCAGAACAACATCTCGAGGCATGTCTGATGCATAGAAAACAGACAGACAACTATCCAAAGAATTATAGCAGTTGATCAAGGGTGGATGTAAATTCTGATCAAAGGGAAGGTGTCATGCAGCCAGTAGGAGTGCTAGAGAAATTTATACGTGTCTATTCATGAAAAGCTTTTTAGAACCCCAGTCTCGATATATATTTTATTCCTCAAACAGTAAACAAGGCAGGGCAGCAAATGACCAGACCAAGGCCATGCCATGCATCAGTGGCAAATACAGGAATAGCTCAAGCCAATCTCCTGCCTGCAGACTTGTCTGCCATGCATGTTCTCTCGCTCCACTGTCCTTCCTTGCACTGATTGATGCTGCAGGCTCCACACCCACCTCCATTAAGGCATTCAAACTTTTGGCCTCTTGCTCAATGACCTGACTTGATGATACTTAAAAGTGGCAACTGAATGGATCGCCTCCTTTCAGAGCTTTACGGCCTGTCATTTCACAGTCATTACATACTTATCACATGCGGCCTCTCGTAAAACAGGATGCTAAGGACCAACTAGTAGAATCTCCTTCCCCCCTTTAAAATATATCGAGTGACTTCTGGAGGTCCTACGATATTGGGGTTGACTGCCATTTCCAATCGAGGCAAGGGAGTGTTCCAGGTATGTGAGCAGGAGACAAAAAGGGATTTTTGACAAGCTCAGAAAAGTAGGAAGAAGGGTTGATGTTGGTGTAACAACTGCAAAGCAAGGACATAGATGCCCAAGATCCCCTTACTGCATAGGGAAGCACCAGGAGCCATAGCATGGCTTTTGGATGTCTTAGCTGAGATGGCAGTTGCAAAGGAACAGGATTAAACAATAAGCACATAGTTCCATGGCAAAGGTTTTCTGTTTGTGACTATTATACAGCATTTTTATAGAGGCATTTCTTTGGCTCCTCTCAAAGCTTAGCCCAAGGAGGAACCACTTGTTTACATTGCTGAGATACCATGGCAATGCTACACTGAACACATTTTCTATCTCTGGTCCAGAGGAAACAACCAGTGATGCAATCTATATCTTCCAGATTAGGGAGTGAGAAATTGCAAGCTCAGGCATGGAGCCGTCTGCTTCCAAGAGGCAATGGCAGCAGCAGAAAGAAACAAGCTTTCTTACTTCACCACTTCTCATTTGGCCTTCCTGCAAACCTCCTGCAGAACACAATGACCCTTCAAAAGAATCCCAGAATTGCTGACATTTCACAAAGATTCCTGGGGGTTTGGCGGGACGTTTCTCTACCCTTACACCCTCCATCTCCCCTTCCCTCCCCATCACTATTGTGCTCAGCTAGGGAGGTGTGAAGTGCTGCAGACCTGCACATACAGCCTGTACTTACAGCATGCTAACAATCATTAAATTTTTACAGATCACTAAATGAAGAAAAACCGCAGATGCTATCAGAACTGACAGCCCCCCGCCTGGCTGCTTGAGAAAGCCTGATCTGGGGAGCAAGGCCGTCTCGGGAGCTGAAGGCAGATTGACTTTTATATGCCTGGGATTCATCCACGTACCTCTGGCAAGAGAGAATGAAATTGCTTTCTGGTAAGTGCTCTCCTGCAGCTATAGTTAAATGTGGGGATCCTGCTGGCCAGGGTAATATTAGCGAAAGCGAGAATGGAGTGTGGAAGCTATACCCGCTGGCAAACATGCCTACGTTCCAACAAATAAAGGCAAAACAGAGGGTGCTTGGTGCACATTCTCTCTCACACACACACCCTAAATATACACACTCAGGCATTCCTTGAGAAGTACAGCATGTGTGAATAGACTATGCTCAGGGGCATAGCGTGGGTTGCCAGTGCCCAGGGTCGCATGCAGGGGGTGGGTGGGAGGGAAATGGATGGAGTACACATGCACATTCAACTGCCTAACAGCATCTGCGTCACTCAGGTGATCACAGCTGCAGAGATAAGAAAAGAAGAGTCATTCCGTTGTCTGGAGAGGTCACTTCCTGGTTCGCATGGAGAAGCCATTTTTAATGGAGCTCAGGGACAGAAGCACCGTATTTAGGTTTGATGGGGCCCTCAGCTACTGAAGGTAATTGGGCCCTTTATATGTCCAGCTGTCCTTTGTCAACAACAAATTGTCACGGTTTTTTGTGTTAAATATATGCTATATGTTAATTTATGGACCTAATAGGTATCTAAAGCCATTTGCACATAACAAAATATGTATTTTATCAAAGCAATTGTTGAACTTATATTTTGGAAATGTACATCCAGGATTTTTTTCCCCTTTGATTTTTTTTTGGGGGGCCCCCAAGAGAGTCGGGCCCTAAGCTATAGCTTGATTGGCTTCTACGTAAATCCGACACTGAGCACCGAGTGTTGAAATTTTGCGCTCCTAACAATTTTGCACCTGTGCCCCCCCCCATGCTATGCCATTGTTCTAGCTGTGCTGTAGTTCTTTTCACAGAGCATAGTTAAACTATGGAACTCACCCCCATGGGAGGCAGTGATGATCACCAACTTGGGTGCTTTTAAAAGAGGATTAGACAAATTCATGGAGGTGAGGCTTATCAGTGGCTACCAGCTATGGTGGCAATGCTCTGCATCCATGGCTGGAATGTTCCCTGAATTTGCAGAGTTATGTGCCCTAGTTATTTTATTGGGTTATTTTCTATGAGTTTTACATGTTGCTTTTAATGAATTAATATTGGTTGTGTTTTCTCATTGTCTATTATGTTTGAACTTACATTTTGGTATTAGATATTGCACTAGCCACTCTGCAGAACCTCTGCTTGGGTCAAGAAAATGGGATATAAATTTTAAAATAAATATTTAGGTGCTGAATATTTTTGCTCCCATACACTCCAAATTACATCCCCTCTAACATTGGCTGGAAAATGAGCTGGTTATTTAAACGCAGAACTACAGCAAAATCCATATTTATATTGGATGTTAGTATAATCCTTAGGATTAAGATATCAGAAGCAGGTTATTGGATCAGCTCCCAACTGCGGACAGATCTAGAATATATATATATATATATAGTTAGGACTAGGTGAAATGGAATTGGATTTAGGAGATGTGAAAGGTTTTACTGCTGCTATGATTAATAGTTTTCTTTAATATTTTATATGGTTTCAAATTGTTCTTAAATGTTTTAAACCACTGTGGAAAGATAGCATATTTTGAATGATAGAATATAAATTAATTAAAGAAAAAATAAAATAGGCAATGAAAATTGGACAGCTAGCATTTAGTTTGAACTGTAAGTGAACCATTTTGCAGTACCAGTGGGTTTATTGAGCCTCTTTCTGATTTTGTCCCTAACTCATCATAATTCTACTTCTGCCCTCTAGAGATGGATGTATCTGTCAATTTCAGTTTTTCTCAGTTTCTTCCCCCCCCCCATCTCACGTTTAGTTGGCCCCTTTCCTCGTGTGTTTGCAATAATATTTTTTGCAATAATTTCCCCCTAACACAATTCATTTCTCTGTGTTATTTTTTCTCTACTGCCTGCACTATTATGCACACTTTACCCCAATACATACATTTTTGTACCCAGTTTTTGATTCAAAAACTTAATCACAAAATTCAAAGATGAGCGAATTACAAAGCATAGCTGCCTTTCCAAGGAAGCTGCCCTACATTGAGTCAGACTTCTGGTCTCATAATTGCCATCTGACTGGCAGCAGCTCGCCTTGGGCTCCAGGCTGAAGTCTTTGCCATCCCTACCTGGAGATTCCAGAAAGCGAACTTGAGACCTCCAGCATTCAAAGTATATGCTCAACTGCTAAGCTATATCCCTCTCACCTCTCCAGAGTTGCAGGAAGAAGTCCTTCCCATCCCTACCTGAGATTGAACCAGAGACCTTGTTGATATAAAACATGTGCTCTACCATTGAGCTATGACTGATTCATGTATTGTTTTGAAAATTGCAACTTGGGTATATATTTGCATTAAAATGCAAACCAAACTGAATTGCTCTCCGATTCCTACAGCCCCCATCCAAAAGGTCTGCATTTTTCAAACTGGGAGTTGGCAAGATCTTCTTCCTTTCTCCATCAGCACCAGCTGCAGACCTGAGAGCTGAACAAATGAGACCAGAGCAGCCCCTTCTCTCCATTGCTTCCACTGAATGAGGTGATTAGCTCCCTGACCTGCACAGCTTTAAAGCGACCTCTGAGAATAGATAGAATCTTGTTATCTTGTAATGAGTTTTATGGCTTATTTCAGTATATTTCAGCCTTGTTTCTCCAGTGATTAGGTGGCAATTATCAGCCCCCACATTGCAGGATTATGAATTATGGAGCTCTCAAGATCTTGTAAGGAAAAAGAGACAGACAGAGAGAAATGGTATCCCACAGGGAAGGAAGATTGATCATATCCTGAGAGCCCCTCTATGGTCCCATCACCAAAGTAAGTGCTTTTGTGAACTTACTTAGCTGTGGAGGTTGCAGGGAAATGATAGTGGGGGGCAAATAACAGAATTCAGCACTTGGCACCCATCAGTTGCAAAGTGATTTGTAAAATGAGTATGGCAATTTTTAACATGGGCATATTCAAACTGGCATGTGTGTTTCTTTTGGTGGGGACTGCAGAAGCAAATTATGGTCACAATCACAATGAGGTGTGACTGCTCCTTGCTCTAAAGCAGGCATGGCCAAACTTGGACCTCCAGCTGTTTTAGGACTACAACTCCCATCATCCCTAGCTAACAGGAACAGTGGTCAGGGATGATGGAAATTGTAGTCCTAAAGCAGCTGGGGGGGGGCAACTTTGGCCATGCCTGCTCTAAAGAGTCCTGATACATTTATTTCAGAAGAATTTGGTAGTATCAACATATTCAACTTTAGCCAGCATGCTGAATCAGCCTCAATATCCCACCCATCTGACTGGGTTGCCCCAGTTACACTGGGAGGCTTCCAGTTTAATAAAAACACATTGAAATGTCAAACATAAAAAACTTCCCAATACAGAGCTGCCTTCAGAAGTCTTGGGAAAGTTGTGTAGTTGTTTATCTGCTTAACATCTGATCAGAGGGTATTCCACAGGGTGGACACCACTACCGAGAAGGTCCTCTGCCTGGTTCCCTGTTAACTTCACTTCTCACAGTGAGGGAACCACCAGAAGGCCATCAGAGCTGGATCTCAGTTTCTGGGCTAAACAATGGGGGTAGTGGTGCTCCTTCAGGTATACAGGGCCGGGGCTGTTTGGGGCTTTAAATACTTTGAATTGTGCTCAGAAACATACCTGGAGCCAACCAGATTGCACAACATGCTGTGCTTCACACCAACATCTCTCCTCTCACATTGCTTGGCTCCTATTCTCCTATTCTCTATTGCTACACCATTGCATGACAGCTGGGATATTTGAGCTCCCACATCTCAGGACTGTGCATATTTGATCTCTTTATCTGTCATGGACATGGGCCGGTTGAGACTGCTTTGGGCCAATTCTCTCCCCCGTCCCTCCGCACCCTCTGGGCTGCCTTTGAAAATAGAACTGCTGGACCAGAGTGAAGCTAATGATGCTACAAATTGAACAGTCAAGTGCAAAAGCAATAAAGGTTTCCATCTCTGCAAACGCTCCTCTCCTACATGTGAGATTATATATATATATATGTATATGTATTCTGGATTAGAGATGAAAGACCGAACCTCAAGTAGCTCTGTGTCAACCTCAGAGTTTTCAGATCAAAACATATACAGAAATAACAATGGTATTCTCACCACTATGATTTGTGGGGTAAGGGATGTCTGTTCATATACTGTGTCCCTGCATAGTAACTAAACTTTAATAGGGCCCAGATTTTTGATGAGCAGGGGTTGATGGAAGTTTGAGCTCCTCCCACTGACTCATTCCCACAAAAGCCGAGGCAGTGGCAAAGGGCTTCAAACTCTCCTTTCAGGTCATAGCTGTCTCTGCTCTTCTGGGATGTCCCCATTCAACATCAAGAAGGGTTATTTTTGGCTTCCCAATCAGGCTTAATCCATCCTATTTGTGGCCCACCCATATGAGCTGCTGCTGATTTTGTGCACACACGTAAAGCCACTTACCGGCTTAGCTCTTAACACATGGCAGGAACCGCCCCTAAGGTGAACTGGGAGTTTCTGGGTGAGTGTGTCCAGCTCATCAGATAAAGCCTCTCCCTACCAAATCCAGCATTGCATAACTTCCCCCGGTAGCCTGGCATTGAGGAAACATTTGCCCTTCATTCAGGCCACCCAGAGAACACATGGGTGATTAAGAGCCCCATGCAAACAGTGTGACGCAAGCAGAGTTTAATCACAGATTTAAGCAGGTTCAGTGCTCACAGAGTTTGGCTTGCTCGAGTTCTCCCTGCAATTTCCCTTCAACTGTAATTAATCACAAATTTAAGGTCAGCTTTTGTTACTTAGATCGTAGCTCAGAGCAATGGGCTTAAAGGGTGTCATCAACCTTGTATAGAGCGCTCTCTCTCTCTCTCTCTCTCTCTCTCTCTCTGTGTGTGTGTGTGTGTGTATGTAAAAGAGATACTGGCTGATCATCCTGTATTTAGATTCAGAGCATGATGACCTGGCTCAAAACACAAGAGTGTGGTAGTGATGGGGGGAGTGCGGGAGTCCAACATGCAATTTCTTCCAAATTGTCTATTCCTTGTAACAACAGAATGATTCGAATTCAAATTCCAAGAGACGGAAAAAAGGTTTACAACTGCAATCTCCTTTCAGTTTAATCACCAGATTAATCAACTGGAGTTTAGTTGATTAATCAGTGAGGTGAAATTTTAATCAGCAAACTGCATGCTTATTTTCTCAAACTATGTTGACCCTGGTAGGGAATGAGAAAGAAGTTGAAGAATAGCCTTTCATGGTTATAGTTGTTGCAATCTGATGCAGGGGTAAGCACTCTCAAACTTTTTGGCTATGGTCACTGACCAGTCACTTTTTTAAAATTAAACTGTAATTTGTTTTAGCATCCCTTTCCTGTCTCAAAAATATCTCTGATTTGGAGGCCTCTGTCACATGCAGTTTCATTTACTGCTTCCTCCTGCATCAATCTCCTCCTGTATTAGGATTAGTAGGATAGTCTGCTGATAGTCTTGCCACCATGTGAAGTGCAGGGGTGCTTGAGAGCATCTTCTTGGTGAGCACTTTTCTGCACTGACACTGAATGGCAAAATACGAATAAGTGTGTAATTCAGCTGGGAGTTGCATTGCGATCCACGAGGAAGCTCCTGCAGCCAATCAGAAGCCGGGCCTTGGTTTTTTTTAACAGTTTCAGGAGTCGAACAAACTCGGAATGGATTAAGTTCGAGAATCAAGGTATCACTGTATTAGATTAGTTCAGTTTGCTGCAAAAAGTGACTGGGTCAGGTCACAGTTGATATACAGACCCTTAACAGCTTGTGACCAGTTTACCTGTGAAATTTCTTTACCACACTTATGCCCTTTTGACCAATACATTCTGTGGAACCGGTCCTATTACAGGTGCCACCAAATACCCATTCTGCATTTGTAATAACTCGGTCTTTTAGTGTGGCAGCACCTACACGTTGGAACTCTCTGCCTACTGACACCAGGCAGATGCCTTCCCTGTACACTTTTTGGCACCTGTGAAAAACATTTCTGTTTAGAATAGCTCAGTTGGAAGAACTAAGCCATTCTTAACTTCACAGTTGTGGGTTTGAGTCCCACATTGCACAAAAGATTCCTACACTGCAGGGGGTGGGACTAGATTATGGTCCCTTCCAACTCTACAGTTCTATGATTCTAAGCCCACATATCCATATATAGAGCGCTTCTACGTGTTTTTTGCCAATAAATTTATTGCTTTATTATTTCTGTAAACTGCTTTGCAAGGTTTTTTTCTTATTACAATCAAGCAGTATATATATATATTTGTCACGAACTGGCAGGACTTCGAAGAGGAGGAAGAGGCAAGGGGTGCAGCTGGAAGTGGGTCGCACAGGAACAAGCTGGGGATGGGGAGCCACTGGTTTGTGTAGATAATACAGAGGAGGAGGATGGGACAGGAGCTAGTGCGCAGGAAGGCAAGCAGCAGGACCCATCACTAGAGCCAGAGAGGCCCCCATCCTCATGAACACAGTGGGTCCTAAGACGTAAGAAGAAGCAGGCAGGGAACTCCAGGAAGCAGAGGCAGGTCAGGGCCTGCAGCCTAGTTCACTAGCTGGCCAGGTGGGGAAGGAGGCAAGTGATTCCTCAGCTGGGGCAAACTGAGAACAGGTGAAGGTCACATGCCTCATCAAACCCAGATGCTGCAATCAGAAGACACAGTATAAGGCAGCAGCAGAGCTGAGGTGCTGTGTCTGCTCAACTGCCCATTTTGAGGGTCTTCACATGGGATTCTCCTTGGGCCTTCATGGGTTTCTACTTCGAGATTGACTCTGGACTGTATCCTGACTGCTGAGCTCCTATCTTGGCATACTTGGACTCACTGGCAGAGGAAGGGGGCATGGATGGTGCGGTCTGCCCCGGGTGTCATCCCTGGGGGGGGGGGTGACATCGCACCCCGCCCCGGGGAATGCTCGCTCCACCCCTGTGGGACACTTCCCCCACCCCCGGGTGCACAGCATGTGTGCCACTCTGGGTGCCAGAGCAGCTAGCTCCGCCTCTGCTTGGACTGACACTGGACTGTTTCCTGATCTTTGGACTTTGCTTGTGTGGATTGGCTTCTGGACTTAGAACTTTGTCTTGGCACACTGTCTGTCTGCCAGGTAGGCTAGGGGATCACAGGACACTGAAATACAGTGGTACCTCAGGTTACAGACGCTTCAGGTTACAGACTCCACTAACCCAGAAATAGTACCTCGGGTTAAGAACTTTGCTTCAGGATGAGAACAGAAATTGTGCGGCGGAAGGCGGGCATTAGCTAAAGTGGTAACTCAGGTTAAGAACAGTTTCAGGTTA